ARAAAAAGAAGTTGGATTATTTAAGTGAACAACAGGCTAGCATGAGCTAATCAACATGTTTTACTTCTTGTATTAATAGTATTGATCACATTTTTGCATATAAATTGATTTCTTTTGTGGGTATAAAAACAAAAAATATATAATTCTGTTGTGTTTTTAACGAGCTGCTGCAGAGGGACCAAAGAGCCACATGTGGCCCCAGAGCCGCAGGTTGCAGACCCCTGGTCAATAGCTTTTAGCTAGTGTTCAGTTTTAGTTTTCRGGACTTCAGTCAGGTAAATTTTATTTTATTTTATTTATTTTTTGATAATTTCTCAGGATTCACTGTGAGTTCAAAGCTGGGTTCTGGACTCTGGCAGAGCAGCGTCCAGCAGCAGGTTCAGTCAGACAGATGGTCCCTGCTTTAATCTGAGCTCTCATTGTAATCCTGCTAATGAGGACGATCCAAACAGGTCTCTGAGGTTCTGCTCGGGAACAATGAGGACAAACAGGAAGTCCYACATTTGGAACTGATTCCTTCATAAAAATAAGAAGGTTTGAGTGTTCAGACTTCCTGTTTCACAGGAAAATAACTCGGCGTGATTTCAGGTTTCTGAGGTGGATCTCAGATTTCTGTTTTGCTTTATTTATTTAATCTGTAATTTAACCGAGACTCCCGTCTGAAAACTGTACTTTTCCAGAACCGGTTGGACCGGTACTCGTCAGCCCGTAAAAATCCGAATCACTTTTTGCCTCGAGGACGACAAAGTTCTTCTCATCACTCGCCACGCGATCTGTAAATGTTGTGAAACTGGAGCGCAGCCCGAGGCGGCGCAGACTCTCGCCCTCGGCCCGCAGAAACCGCAACAGAACCGGTTCCAGGACCGGCACACGGGAGCCCACAGACCGAGGCACGATGGGAATGTCTGCAGCAGAAACGTGGCTTTGGAAAAAAAAAAAAGGTCAAGTTCGGGTTCTAACCTGAAACGGGTCTGAAGAGAGACAAAGACCGGTCCAGGTCTCTGAACCACAGAACCTCACAAAAAACAAACAAAAACAAACAGGAAGTTCAGCTTTGGATCAATCGTTCACCTAAACGCCCTGTTCAAGATGGCCGCCGCAACCTTCTAACACATATTGAATCATTTATTAGTTAMTGAGCTAAAGGTTTGGGGTGGTAGTAGCCGAAGATAATCCCCAACTAATCGTCCAGTTAATGTGAGWCCTGGAAACTATTGGCGAACACTCTGTTAGTAAAATATCTCAAGAGATGTCAATGAAACTTCCAGGAAACAATCAATGGATGATCTGAGTCAACCCAGTCCAAGATGGCCGTCACAGCTTCAAAACTTGGGCGACGTGCAATCACGAAGGCACGCTTGTCCTTCGGTGTTAATCTGTAGGTCGTGTTAATAGTTTAGGAGAAATACCAGCCGAACCACAGCGCTTCCTGTTGGACCGTTTCCTCCGCGCCGCTAAAAATAAACCCGAGCCGCTGGATCGGGTTCTGCTCACAGGCCGAGGTGAGAAAGCTTCAGGTGTTAGTTTTACATTAGCGCCGGAGCTGCGGCGCGCAGCCTCTGAACGAGGAGGCGAGAAACGTCTGGCAAGCCGGGAGTAAACCGGGTCGTTCGAAGAACCTCAGGAGAACGGAGCAGAACCAAAAACGTCTGAGAAGTTTCCTCAACAGGAAGTCCAGAGTGTTTAATAATTTATAATCCGACTTCTCCTCAAACAGCAGAGTTCATCTGAAGCATCAGCAGGATGAAGAAAACATTTTTATATAAACAACAACAACTCTGTTTTCCTGCGCACAGTAAACACACCACAGGTAAACACATCAGCTCTAGGTTTTTATCCAATCACTACTTTCTGAGAGTTTCAATGACTTAGCTTTTAATAACTAGCCTTTTGCTACTTTTAGCCATTTTGTTCTAGCTAGCATTTACACAGTTTTAGCTTGTGTTTTGCTAGCTTAGCTTTCAACAAATTTTATATTATTTTAGCTAGCCTTTTGATAATTTATCTGTTAGCCTTCTTATAAAAGTTTTAGCTATTCTGCTCCTTTAATTTGTATCCAGACTTCAGCTACTTTTAGCAAGGTTTTTGCTTTTTTTAGCTTATCACTCGCTGCTTAAAGTTACTATTTTGCCACTTTTAGTTCAGCTTTTGACACTTCTAGATTTTAACTAGCCTTCTAATAATTTTAGCTATGCTTCTGCTGCTTTTAGCTAGGCTTTAGCTTTATGTAACTATTTGTTGCTTAAAACTATGATTTTGTTAGTTTTAGATTTTAGCTACTGTATTGAAACTTTTAGAAAATCTTTTGCTACTTTTAGCCTCTAGCCTCCTTTTGATGCTTTTCTCTACTGCTACTTAAGGAAGCCTTTAGCCATTTGCTACTTTTAGCTAGTCTGTTCTGTTGTTCTAGCATTTAAATTTTTTTATCTATTATTTTGAGGGTTTAGCTTTTAACAAAGTTTATATTACTTTTAGCTAGTTTTATAATACTTTTACTTGTTAACCTGATAGGCTTCAGCTACTTTTAGCAAGGCTTTTAATGTTTTAGCTAAACATGAAGGATAAAGCTACAACTTTGCTGCTTTTAGCTGGCATTTTTATACTTTTTACAACTGTACTATTGCTTATTCATTTTCATAATTTTACTAAGACTTTTACTATTTTTCGCTAGTATGTTACTACTTTTAGCTTCTAGCTAGCATTATAATACATTAATCATCCTTTTACTTCTTAGCTTTAACAAAGTTTCTGTGTTTTAGCTAGACTTTGGCTACTTTTAACTTTAGGTTACCCTTTTGATATTACTTTCTAACAATTGTATTAGCTGATTTAGCCATAAGCTAGTGTTTCGCAACATTTAACCAGTTTATTATTATTATTATTATTATTATTATTATTATTATT